GAAAGATGTGTCCGAGTAAAACCCCAAAACCCCAAAACCCCATGAACATAGCAAAAAAAAATAAATAATTCAGACCACTTATTGGATATTTTGTTATATTATTATGCTTTTTGCATTTTATAAAGATAGATGTATAGATAATTAATGTTACTTAGGCAATAGGTTAATTTTGAAGTTAAGGTTTCAATCATCGTATGGGTATGGATAGTAAACTGGACCTCCGTATGGATAGTAGTACTATTAAACTTAAGGATAGTCTGAGATTCTTCTTGTCTTTCTAAGTTAGCCATCAATACCTCTCTTGTAGTTTTGGACAGAGAGTACTTCTTCTTCATCATCGGAGTAGTCATCATTATCCTATCTTCTTTGCTTTTTTGAGGCTTTCTTAGTGGTACCCTCTTCGTTGTCAATAGTCCACTAGTTTTGGTTTCCTTTGTTCAAGATGTTTACAGTCTTTGCAAAGTCTTGTACTTTTTGTTCATTGCTAATGGTAAAGGCATTTTAACTTCCTTTATTCTTCATATCAACATCTCTGGCGAAGTCAGAGTCACCCTCTTAGGAGAGACTAATGTCATTAAGACTTCCAGTGTTGTCAAATTTGAAGCCCTTAGCAAAGTCCTAGACTTAGAGTCCTTTGTTGTTGTTTCCAAATCTGAAATCGTTTCCATCTCCTTCGTTATCGAATTTTCCAATCACGAATTTTTACTCAACTGATAGATCTTCAGCATTGTTGTTGCCGAATCCAAAATGATTTCCATTTCCCTCATTATCGAACTTATCGAATTTATAAGTTGGCTCTGAAGTCTTAGATTATCTCTCTGGTCTTGCCTTGTGCTAATGCTTTGGTTTTTCATGAGCAGCTTGTTTGTCTCCGTTATTGTTGCCAAATTACATGCTGTTTTTATCTCCATTATTAACGAATTCACCGAAATGGAAATCTTGCTGAACTTAGAGTTCTTCAGCATGATTACCATTGCCAATGTTCCAGTGACCGTCATTTCCATTAGAAGAAATACTTCCAATTGAGATTGCTTGTTCAACTGCAAGGCTATAGAATCTCTCATAAATTTGATATTAATACTTAACTAATTACTGAAATAAAGAGAATTTTATAAGCACAAACTCTATTAATTATTTAAAACATAAATCAGTAATTTAGTAATTGAGGAAAATAAGATTTAAGTTTGAATAGATTACATTAAAATAAATGCATTAAATACATAAACTTGTTATCAGGTTGACTTTTCTTTCAATTTTTGTTTAATTTCTTATCAATTGTGAAACAATTGAATGTAAGCATTATTGTTTTATTAAAGGATTTATAGGCTAAAAAGATGAATATTTAGATTCAACTCTAATGTCATGTTGAAGTAAAAAAAAATATAATCTCATATTAAATATTCTATAGAATGCTCGAATTCTATTTTCGGGTGTCATTAATGCTAAGAATCTTTACTTGCCAATAAATATGAGATATAATGCAAAAGTTGTTTTGCAGGAATGTTGTTGATCGAAAGTAGAAACAGTTAAAATTAATAAGCATTTTGTACATTTGATTGCAAAAGTACTCATTAATCTATGATAAAAGACTCCATTGAAGGAAAATGTTTATGTTAGTTAATATGTATTATAAGATTTTAGGGAGTGGACTTGGATGCTAATCATCTAATATCAAAACTGGCTGCGAGAAATGTTAAGGTGAGCAATAAAACTCAGGCTGGGTAATTTCGAAGTTCTCAGAGTATTAAAACTTTCAAAATTAAAACATAGAAGTTTGTCAGAGTATGAACAATCGTCAATTTTCTAGATCATTAATATTTTTTTAGATTGTTAAACTAATTTCTAATGCAATAGTTGTTTGAAAACAGACATCAATAAGTGCACTAATTGTAGTTTTCCAGTTAATCAAAAATCATAACTAACTGGAGATTTATTGAATCCTTGCAGTAATTTCCATTTAAGTTTTATTTTTTAGACCCATAGTTAGATTCTTAATTTAGCAAAGATATTTTCTGTCTCATATTTGACTACTAAGATTAATATAATTGTATTAAATGTAAAGATGGCTTTTACATAAATAAAAATGGTTTTTATAATGAGACAGCTTCAAGGTTTTAAGATATTTGCTCATCATGTAAGTTATAAGTTTATTTATTCTTCAATAACTTTATTTCATAACAAGCCATTTAAATAAACATTTTTAGATATTTAAGGAGAAATATGTCTTGACGCCGACTCATTTGAAAACTGCTTGATCTGCAAATACGGTTATGGCTTATACTTGGATGAAAATGGAAACTAAAAATGTCAGAGTAAATAATAAAATGTTTAAACATTTAGAATGTGAATTTGACTTAAAAAATTAGAGTATACTAGCTGTACCTATTAGATGCACTTTTATATTAGATACAGAGACAAAACTTCCTATTTAAGATTAGATAACTGCATGTGAAGATGGATATGTTGATAAAACAACTGGTAAATGTACTGCACATTGTGGATTAGGTAGGTATGGAAAAATGTAGTTTGACTCAAGAGGATTAATAGAGGCGTCAAGCTGTGAAATTTGTGATGATATGTGCTTTGAATGTGCCTCACAAGGAGAATGTCTATCATGTAAAAAAGGCTTTTACTTATACACTGGATCATCCTTAAAATCTACTGGAAAATGTTTGCAAAAATCTGGATTTTTAAATTTGACTCTATTTGTTGACAGTACAAATTAATAATATTCAGAAGAAGATTTGACTGGATAAACTATCTCTGATCCATTTTTATCCTTACAAAGTGCTTTTATCAAAGCTTATGAATATGGTGCACCATTTGAAAGTGCTGAAATAAAAATTTTGCTTATATCTGGAAAGACTCATTCGATGATCAGATATGATAATAATCATCTTCTTCCCAAGGCATATGATCAAAATTCTCAATCAACAAAGATTATTATTGACACAACTAGTGGCTCTTAAGTAACAGTACTATACAAAATGAGAGACTAATTCAAATTTCTTGTTGGAGGCGGTTTAGAAATCAGAAATATTGCATTCAATGCCTTTGATTCTATTTTCGATCCAAGACAAGGATTTGATCTAAGTTTACTTGAAAACTAAGATTATTAATGCTTGAAAGATCATTTTTTAAGATGTTGTAGAAAGACATTGGATTAATCTACTGGATACACAACTGTAACTGGATAAAGCTTTTGCTAGTAATATGTCCCTATGTAAGTTGTATTGTTGGTATATATTTAAAATTTATAGATAGAGTGACTAATGTCATTTACCCGTTGGATCATCATTAATATAATTTGATATATCAAGTTAAACACTTTTAAAATCTCCATAAATTTTGAAACTAATAGTAATGTTTTTAACTTAAGCTTATTAAAATATAGAACTCTTAATTTAACAGTTTTATGTATGATTTCAACACTCTAATTGAACTTAATGATTTTGGAGGTTATATTGAAATTAGTAGATCACTTTTTGATAACATGAACTCATGCGGGGCAATTATTAGGAATAAAAGATTCGATCAAGTATATGATAAATTAATAAAAAATAGCGATTTCTTAAATTATGATCTGATACAATCAATAGAATATGAAAAGAGCAAACTACCTTAATAAACACCCTTTGATAAAGTCTGCGGGAATTCTAGCTAATTTATTTATAAAAAATGCTTTGAAATTGTACTATCCAATAGTTATGTTTAATACTCTAACAAACTTTCAAATTTTTCAGAATTTCCACTTTGGGTAAATCCTTTTCTTAAAATGAAAAATTTTGGATTAATCTTTGATTTAGACAATTTTTAGGGTCCAATTACGATAAAAGCTAACACCTTTGAATATAATTATGCTATTAATCCAAACAATAATTATATTAGTTTACTCCAGCAAAATATCCCTTTAGAAATTGATTAAAATTCAAATTATGGTATCAAAACCTCTATTCAAATAAGATCACTTATATCAATAGTTAACCATGGAGAATATATAATTAGCATTAATCAAAATTGGATTAATAGCAATACAGCATCAAAAGGATTATTTTATTTAGATATGAACGATAGAAATTCAGATTCTTAAATACTGTTTTAAGATAACTTTTTCTTATTGAATTTTGGACTAATAATGAGTAATTCTATATTTATTCGAGCTAGAGGACCTCAATTTATTGATGTATACAAAAACATAAATTTGGGAAATTGCCAAGGTTATATGTTTAAGTATAATTAATTTTAATAATAAATTGGAATATAAGGCAGTTCTGGAGGATCAATATATCTTGAATGTGTCAATTATTAACAAGTTGATGATGAACCAAATGGTTAAATACATCTTCCTTAAATCACTTTTGAATAACTTAGAGATCTTGATAGTTAAGATTAGTTTGAATCAGTAGTATTTGATGGTAACTCTTTTTCTTAAAATAGTGCATCAAGTGGTTTAGGAGTATTAAATGTGATAAATTTTCCAAGAATAAAAATTATAAACAGCATTTTTTTTTAAAACTATGATGCTTTCCGAGAAATTATTGCAAATACAGCTTAATATTTGTACTATCCTGATGAATTAGTTGATTTAATATGTGGGGAAAAATTTTTAGATATATATTAGAATGCTACATATGATGAAAGAAAGCTTGCATCTTCTATCATTCATATTGAGAGATCAAATAGAGTTTATATTTAAAATATTCAAGTAAACACAAACATGATTATTGAACCTAAATTTTCAAATGAAAGAGCTTGCTTTTTCTATTTCAAAGATATTTCTGAGAGCGCTTAAATTATTTCATTATAAGAAGATGTATTTTAAGGATCTTATATAGCCTATTTTATATCTTATGAATCTTTCTAAGATCAAGATTTTTCTTTATGGCCTTTACCCGGAACCAAGTTAAGAATATTATAATTGGTTACATCTGTAAAAGACATGGAAATTTTTATATTGAGAATTGAAAATTGGCAAATCAGAGAAATTAAATTTAATCAAGGAGAAATTTTAAGCAATCAAAGTATGATTGGAATTTTTTAAGAACCAATAGATACATAAATAGATTAAGATTTACATATAAATATAACATTAAAAAGCGTTATATTAGAAAAGTGTGAATATCATTTGATTTACATTCATTCTAAGTAAATATACATTGAAGAATCATATTTTAATGACATAAAATTCCAAACCTAAATGCAAAACTAAATAAGCGTGATAAAATTTGTAGATTATATTGGTTTAAGCAATACATTAAGTTTGAACATTAAAAATAGTGAGTTTGTTGATATTTAAGGAGTTGATGAGGAGCATTATTTTGTTGAATTGTATTCTGTATTGAACCTCATTGATATATAAGCAAATAATAGTTTAAATATCAATCTAAATTTGGCGAATAGTACATTTAATTTGATAAAATTATACAACGGTTATGGAGGCTTGCTAAGTATACAGTAAAGTAATAATGTAATTTTTAATATTACAGATTGTGTAATTTCTTATTTTGAATATAATTAGTTTGGGTATACTGAATAAATTGATGATTATACAAAAGATATAAATTATCATAATAGAGTTTCTGCCTAATTTAATAAAGGAGGACTCGCTTTCATAAACTCTAAATTTTTAATAATAAACGTTTATAATACATCAATTTAGAATATTAATTCAACCAATAGAGGAGGATTATTCAAAATAAATGCAAAGGAGAGCATAAAGATTAACTTAATGGACAATGTAGTTATCTCAGATTTTGTTGTTGATAACTATGGTGGAGTATTTTTCCTTTAGTCTAAATAAGTAGAAATTATTCTAGATAATGTAAACATAATGAACATAAAAGCTAAAGGAGTTGGTGGTATAATCTTTATGAACTCCACTGATCTTAAAAATGGGAAAATACTTATTTAAAATTCCAAAATACTCGATATAACGGCTTAATTAGCATCATTAATATTTAGTTAAACTGCAATTAATATTACAATTTTAGATAATTAAATAATTGGAATTGAATTAAATGCCATCTATTCAATAGGTTAAAATAATATTTTGATGAGAAACAATAAATTCTAATGCTCTTCAGGAGGGAATATTAATGAATAATTTTTTAATGCCAAATAATTTCATTTGAATAGCGAAGACTTAGGTTAGAAAATGTCATTATTTACGAAGAAATTTAGTCCATTTATAATAAATGGAGGTATAATAACAACGTCAAATAATACTTATTTATAATGCAGTTTTGGCTAAAATGGGGGTTTATTTTAACTAAATAACAGCAAATTTTGGGATTAAGGATAAAATTAGTATAAAAATATTGGAGGTATAAAGGGTGGATTGATTAATTTGATAAATTCTACAGCTGAATTATATAAATTTTTAATTTAAAATGCAGTTGGTTAATTGGGAGGTGTATTTTATATAGGCATAAATTCTTCATTATTATTATAAGATGGTGATATATATAACTCATCAGCTTATATTTAAGGAGGAATAATATTTACAAAGGGATATAAAGAAGATTAAATTTCTAACGTAGAAATAATAAACGTTCGAATTAACAACTCTCTTAGTTTGTAAGATGGAGGGGCCTTTTATATTGATTCACCAAAGATTGCTTTGAACTTTACAAATTTTGAAGCAAATTAAACAATATCTATTTAAGGAAATGGAGGTCTTATGAATATCTTAAATGCAGCATCATTAACTGCTAATGGATTAAAGCTTTTGGATTCTTTTTCTTCATAAAAAGGACATTTTATTTACTGTGAAGCTTATACTATGGTGATAAATGTTTTTGATTCAAATTTTACTTAACAAAAATATTTAGATAAACTGTAGTTTCCTATTTAATTAGAGTTATCATACTCTTATTCAGGTATAATGCTTAATAATGTATCTGAATCTTTATTTAAAAACTGCATATTTTAGAACAATATCTAATCTTATTAAGGTGGAGCTATTCACATTATTGGAGGGCATTTTGAATGTATTGGAAGTAATTTTTCCAATAATAGTGCTTATAATGGAGGAGCTATGTATTTCTATAAAACATCTAGCATTAAATTATTTCAAATATTTATCAATCAAGTATATGCATTCGAAAACGGAGCAGCAATTAATATTTATAATCCATTGGGAAACACTAAAATAAGAAATTGTACAATTTAAGATGGCTATGGGAAACTTTTTACAGGAGGGATATATTACGTAGATGATTAGGAAAATGAAGCATTATAAATCTCTACTGGAAGCAGCAGTAGAAGGCTAGAATATGATAAATAGGGAAAAAATTAAATTATTCAAGAGGTTAATAGAGAATTGAATATTTAAAATACACCAACTTTCCTTCTCTTGGAGTTAGAAAATGTAATTTTTTCAGAGCTTAAAGGAGACAGCGCAAGTGTTTTATATGTATAAGCAAAATAAACTATTGTCGAAATCAACTCCTGCTCAATGGACAAAGTGTATGGAAATTTTTACAATTCTATATATATCTATTACGCAAAAAGTGTTATTATTCAAAGTTTGATAGCAACAAATATTAATTCTGCATATAAGTCAAGTTTTTTATATGTAAATCAAGTTGAAGACCATATTTTTATAAACTCCACAAAAATTTTATGTTATTAAAACAATCAAACAAGAAAACTATTAGATTTGGATAATGAAGCATATTATAATGAAGAATCATAAAGAAAGTTGTAAAACACATTCGAATGGTTTAATTAGCCATTGGCTGCACCTATTTTCATTAACTAAGCAAAATAGTTCATGATTAATAATATTCATATGAAAGATTGTATCATGGATAGGAATATTTTTTCGAGAGAATAAGCATTAATTGGCATGGGATAAGATAACTTAACATTCATCGACACAAATTCATTATATGAATTTAGTGAGGGGCTGAATGGAGGTATATATAATATTTACTAATTTACCTTTAACTACATCGTAAATAATACATACTAACATCTTGGAACAAATTAGTATGGTCTAATTCATTCTTCAATACCTTAGCTTTTATTTATTCATAATTGTGTATTCTTGAATATAACATCATATGGATCATAGGGAGCAATTATCAGTTTGCTAGAAAAGCCTTCCTTTACTGGCAATTATATTAGTTAAAGACGAGCACATATCAGAAATGTAACAGTTGATACAGTAAAAATGATAAATAATGCATTCGGAGGTTTTATAGCTCATAGTGATGCCTCTATTTATAGTATCAAAATTGAATCAGTTACTGTTAAAAATTTATTTAATGCTGAATAATGTGGTGTATTTTGCTTCACTCCATTCGCTGGTGAGCTTCACATTATCACTTCAAGTAAATATCAAGAAACTAAATTTTCTAATTTTTATTCATTGAGTGAATAATAGTTTATGAGATTCAATTAAAGCAACTTAAATATTTCTACCAAAGTTTATATTGAAGATAATATAATTGACTGCCAAAATTAAGCTGAACCTGATTTGGAATCATATATCTATACTCTAAATACCCAGGGAATCATAAAAATATCAGAGAAAGTATAGTTTTAAACGAAAAAATCACTTTTTAAAAATTGTTATAAATATCAAAGCGGTTCAATGATTTCAATTTATACAAATACCTACATAGATGAAGGTTCAACATTTTCAAATATTAATGGAGTATATGGGGCAATAGTTTCATGTTACGGTTGTCTCATAAAAATGAAGAACACAAAAATGATGAATATAAATGCATTCAGTGGTGGTTTGATAGCGTTGGTTGGATTTTGTGACGTTCAATTAAATGGGATTCAAGCAAAAGGAATTTCTGTGTAGAATTAAGGTGGACTCTTATTTGAACTATAGGTTTAATCAGATTTAGGATACTAAACTAAAACAAAAATAGTTTTAGAAAATAGTCAATAGATATAAGATTTTTAGGCAAATGAAGGTGGTTTATTTTATTTATTCTAAACTACAACCAATCTCTTTATCTAAAATGTAAAGATATAAAATGTAACATCAGCAATTAAAGGAGGCTTATTTAATGTCATAAATGCAGAATTAATAAAGATTGAGAATTCGATGATTATTGATATTTTTTCAGCCGATGGTGGTTTTATCTACTCATCATCGAATTTTCTAAATATCCTAGTTAGAAATACTAAAATTATCTGTGATCAATCTTATGTATAAAATGATGAGCTTTATTAATATATTAACAATAAAGGTTATATTTTAGATAGTAAAGCTTACTTTGTACTATCAAATTCAGCAAGCATAATTCTTAATAGTAATAGAATTGAAAAATGCGGTAATTAAAACCTTGGAGGAGTATTTTCAATTTAAAAGACTAAATTTACAGACGAAAAATCTTTTTACTCATACAATTCAGGTTTATATGGAGGTGTTATAAATGCTTAAGAATCAACCATTAAGTTTTAGTCATCTGAATTTTATAATAACTTAGGAAAAACGGGTGGTGTCATAAATGCTGTGTCTAATTCAAGTTTAACATTAAAATTTTGCATTTTTTAGAACAATAATGCTACAATCTCAGCAGGAGTTTTATTCTTAGCAACACAATGCAATTTAAATATCTATGCAAATACATTTTATTAAAATTAAGCAGTTGAAAATTCAGTTTTAGAGATAATAAGTACTAATTTACTTCAAGATGTTATTGTGAGTAAAAGTTTATTTAAAGAAAACAAAGCATTGAAAAATACGGTTTCTATTCTCTATTCTAACATGATATTAAATGATAACAAATTTCAAGATAATTTAGGGCTATAAAAAACAAAAAATATTTTTGTTGGATTTGGGACTATATCGATGAGAGACAATATCTTTATTAATAAGTATATAGTTGATTATAAATAATCATAATAAAAGGATGAAACTACAGGAACTTTTATATTTGTAATTTTTGACGTTATTTTGGCTATAGATAATTGTTAATTTATTGGAGGATTATCAAATTTTGGTGGAGCTATTTATATATCTGGAGATAGTGATATAAAGATATAGAATTCTAGATTTATGAATAATAGAGCTATTTCAAAAGGTGGAGCAATTTATTCTTCAGGTTTTTAGTCAATATATATTGGAGATGAAACAACATTCATAGACAATTTTGCTTTAGATTACGGAGAAGACATTTATATAACTAATTCATTCAAAACAATAAGCTTAAATAAAATATATTTCAGTAACCTTTAATCCAAGAACTCTATTTATATAGAGCAAGCATTTTTAAATGCTACAAGTGTAACATTTAAGGACATTAATTAAAATAATCAATCAAAAAGAGGTGCTGGAATATATTGTAATTATTGTTAAGGCTTTATAATCAAGAATTCATTATTCCAAAATCTTAAGAGTTCATAAGGAGGGGCTATTTATTTTATTGATTAGGATGCCAACAAAGGTTCAACCTATTTTGAATAAAATGAAAAATTTTAAATAATTAACTCTTAATTTCATAACTGCTCATCTTAAAAAGGAGGAGCCATATACGCAGATAATCCATAATCATTTAACATTATCAATTCTACTTTTATCAATAATCAAGCCATTATAAATAAAGATAATGAATTTTAAATTACAGACCAAGGTTCTGGCGGAGCAATTTACTATACTTGTAGTATTTATTTACTTAGTTGTAAAATGAAATTTATTGGAACTGTGAGATTTCAATAAAATATTGCTTAATATTAAGGAGGTGCTATATATTGGGATTAATTAGAACCAATATATAATTTGAGTTCATTGATCTTTGAAAATAACAATGGCTAATTTTATGGAAATGATATAGCTTGTTATTCTCAAAATCTTAGATTAGTGAGTTAAACATAATACATGAACTAGATGATTTAAATTGGGCTTAAGAATTAGGATGACTTTTATTTGAGATAACTTCTTAATTAGTATTAATATTAGGAAAATTTAAATTAAAGGGAACTCTAAGATCTAAATAATCAAAGAAGTGGGGGCCCTATACCTATAATATTCATAGCTATGATGGACAAATACGGATAAATTGTTGGTGCAGATTTCACAAGTAAGGTAAGAGTAAACATTGATACAACTAATTTAAGCGAGAGTCAAAATCTATATCCTCCAATTATAGAGGGTTCTAATATTTTTGATGTGATAGGTGGGATTGCTGTAATTTCTGAAATTAACGTTGTTGGAACTCCTGGATCATCCTACTAGCTAATATTCTCTTCTGATGGGATTGATTTGAGTAAAAAATCAAACAAAGATATTATGAATCATGAGGGGAACTAAAATCTAGATTTTAATTTAGATTTCAAACTCAGAGAATGTGAAGTTGGTGAGTAATTTACTGTTGCTGGTAAATGTTAACTATGTTAAGGAAGTTATTCATTAAATAAAATGAATGAGCCTGGAAGTTGTGATATATGCCCTATAGAAAAAGCTAAATGTATTGGAGGATCTCTGATTGGGCCACTTCCTGGCTATTGGAGAAGAAATAATGAATCTAAGATTATCTCATAATGTCTATATGATTTAGCTTGCTTAGGAATGATTCCTCCGAATAATAATATTTTAGGGGAGTGTTTAAAAGGATACCGAGGTATATTATGTGCTGATTGTGAATTTGGTTTTTCTAGGGAAAATGACTTTCAATGCTCTTTATGCCCGAATCCTGTGTTAAATACTCTAAGATTGTTAACAATAGTAACTGCACTTACAATTTTGATTGTTTTTATGATCAGATCTTCTCTGAACGGAGCGATGGATGTTAATAATGTTACTAGTATTTATTTGAAAATACTCTTAAATCATTTCTAGCTTATTTTAGTTGCAGCTTCATTTGATTTTAGATGGTCTTAGCAAATCTTAAAATTTTTCAGTTAAACTAAGTAAGTAGCTACTGCTTCTACTTAAATGTTTAGTTTTGATTGTTTTCTTGATAATAGAAGCTCTGATAATTAATCTAGTGATGGAGAAAAGAGGATATTCTTTCAGAAACAGATTATGATTGCCTTATTGCCTTTTTTGTTAACAATTCTTTGCTTTATTGTGTGGAATCTTTATAGGAAAATAAAAAATAATTAAGTTGAATTGAGAGGTAAAATTTTGTCAAGTCTGGTAATTTTATTATTCCTAGTACATCCTAGCTTAATTACTTACTCTTTTCAAAATTTCAAATGTAAGGAAGTAGACGGTGAATATAGAGTAGAGGGTGATTTAGAAATTGAATGCTGGTAAGCTGTTCACAATGTATACAGCTATTTTGTCGCTTTGCCAAGTATAATTGTTTGGGGCTTGGGAATACCATTTTTCGCATTTATAATACTAATAAGAAAAAAGAAGTAATTAAACACATTTGAGATAAGACAAAGTTATGGATTTTTATTCAGAGGCTATCGAAAAGAGTATTATTATTGGGAAATAGTTATAATGTATAGAAAAATAATGATTATATTTACTTCAGTATTTATCAGTAATTTTGGAGTAGTAGCTTAAGCTCTTTTTGTCTTCATGATATTGATTATATTTTTAATGGTAAACTTAAAAAAATAACCATTTAACACTTTAGTTCTAAATGATCTTGAAACTCTATCGTTAATAATCTCAATGATAACTATATACAGTGGAATATTCTTCATTTTGAATAAACCAAAAGATTGGATTATTGAAAATCCTGATTTAGGAAGAGGATCTGTCTCATTATCAGATAGTTTTCAGAAATTCTTTTACTCACTCATTTTGATCTCAAATATATTTTTCTTTTTAAATTGGAGCTTAAAAATGTATTAAGAAATAACAGCTTAATTTAGAAAAAAGTTTACCAAAATTTATTTAACATTGTGCTTGTGCTAAAATGAGGGAAAATTAAAATATTAATTGATTAAATAGTAGTTAGAGCAAGAAAATATAAATTATAAATCATAGCTGAAAGCATAATTAAAGAATGTCAAGAAGTTGTTCGATATAGGTGAGCTTAACCTAAATAAAAAAAACATTGAAAAGATATTGATACATTTAGGATCTGATAAGTTTTATAAATTAGCCAATGGTAATTAAAGTGCCATTTAAATAGAAAATTAGAAAAACAATATGAGAACTTTAAAGAGTAAAAATATGATCAAGATTCAGAAACAATCATTTTCTGAGACAAAAATAAATGATTATGAGATAAGTGATAGCAATAGAAAATTAAAGAATAGATTTTAGGACAAAAAATAAACTTAATAAACAGAAAATTCATAACATGATATTAACTTTGATGAAAGTGAAAGTTAATTACAAGATGATATAATACTATAAAAAAGTAATTTATCAAATGACTATTAATAGGATAGCACAATTAGTCTATAATCAATGAAATCTAAAATTGGTAATGGGAATCTAAATCCTTAAAATTCGAGATTTGGCTTTATTTCTAAAGCATTTGCAAAAAATAAAACAAGAGAAAAGGTGTTTAAAAATGTAGAAGAAAAAAACTAAAGGAAAAATAATACTTTGAGAAAATTAAATGAAGCTTTTTCTCCTACTCTATAGACGAAAAATTAAAAAAATTTACAAATAAATGCTGTTAAATCTGAATTAAAATTAAACAAAAATACTAATAGCTATTTTGAAGAATTTTATGAATCTACTTCAATTATTGAAGACTCATTTACTCAATCATAAGTAGATCTTTTGGATAATGAAAGAATTAAGGAATTAGCTAATAACTATTAAGAAAGAAAAAATTTTGACTAGAAGATATTAATTAAAAAAAAATTCACTAATTCAAAAAACTTGATGAAAAAAAGTATTCAAAAATATAAAGCAATTTAAAGACTGAAATAGTCTTAAGGATCAGTATTTAGCAATACACATAATTAAAAGGTTTAAAGAAATTTAACTATAAGATAACAAAATGATTTAAATTAAGAGCTTTTAATAAATAATCATGACTTGCAAGATTAATATCCAGTCGACAGCAAAATTAAATCTCTGCAAGAGTACTAAGATTAAAATAAGATAAATATTAGTATAGATGTTTTTCAATAAAGTCGCCAATAAAATCACAAAGACTCACATGAAGTTACTGAACTAGTCAAAAGCACATAAAGCATAGAAATTATTTCCTAGATTTAAAAATAAACAGAATAAGCGATTTAAAATTAGTAAGTAAATGCAATTATAAAAAATCTTTCTATTGATATTGAAGAAAAGAAGTTAGGAATTAAAGATATCTCTAACTAGGAATAAAATTTATTGCTTATGAATTATCCCTGTGCTACATTTTAGAGTCCAAATGAGAATATAAACGAGAAGGAAAGTTAAGATTCTATTGTATTTATGAATGGCAAGATAGAAAACCTTTTTAATAAAGATAATAGTGAATAAATGATGCTTGAATCTATTTTGTAATCTGAAAAATCTTTATTCATAAGTGAAGAGTCAGAATTAGCAAATTGATTTAAAATCATTTGAGAAAATCCTCGATTAAAAGATTATTAAATTTGATTTATTTAAATACTGCTCTTTTACTCCAATTTAATGATAATTGAGTTATGGGGTTTTGGGGTTTTGGGGTTTTGGGG